TCTTGAATTATTTTGATTTGGGCTTAATCTATGGACTTGGACTCTCACTTGAGAACTGACTGGTCTTCTTTTTTTCTGCAGGTTGGGTTTGCTTTGGGCCCAAAAGAAATAGCAAAGAGGCCTAGTCTTGATCTGATTGGTGCCCCAAATTTTGTAGAGTTAGCATTAGTTATTGTAGTTAATTATAATTCTTGCTTCATTTAGAGGTCATTACCCAAGTTGTACAATCTTTGATAATAAAGCTCATTCCACTATTCAATTTGTCCCATTTCAAATACCGAATTCAAATCCAAACTCGAGCAACAAAATTTGCACTAAAGTCATTTCTTCCATCCAATTGAGAATTTATATGTAAGATTTGCCACTGCTAATCTTAACTTAAACCGGTCCTATCTTAACTAATTAGGCCCTAGAATCGACTAGGAGCAAATTTGACAATTGTTGGTTCATATTGACTTGCAACTGCTAGTCTCAACCAAACTATCTTCGACTTCTATTTAAATATAATTGTAGTATGACGTGACAAAATTATTTTCAATAAAACAATTATCTCGGACAAAATGTGGTGTCTACAGGTATAATACATGGGTTGCTCGGTTTTATCGTATCTTCTGGATATCAGGACTGCGCTCACAGCTCTTGTCGACACGGCTAGATAAAGGAACAACTTTTCATTAAGCTTGGGAGCGGTCAATACAGGAGGGGATACAAGATACACTTTCAGCTCTTGGAATGCCGCTTCACATTCCTTGGTCCATGCAAACTTTGTGCCGTTTTTTAGTGTTTTGAAGAAGGGCGCGCACTTGTCTGCTGACCTCGGTATGAATCTCCCCAACGCTGCTATTTTTTCATTCAGGGACTGGATTTCCAGTGCGCTCCTTGCCGCCCGTAGTTGTTGAACTGCCGTGATTTGTTTTGGGTCGACTTCGATGCCGCGCTTGGTTATCATGAACCCAAGAAACTTCCCTGCTTCCGCTCCGAAAACACACTTTAGTGGGTTTAGGCGAAGATTATGCTCGCGGAGAGCTTCAAACATCTCGCGCAGATCCTCCAGATGTGAATTTCCCGCTTTGGTTTTGACAATGAGATCGTCCACATACGCTTCAATGTTCCGCGCAATCTGTCGGGAGAACACCGTGTCGATCATTCTCTGGTATGTCGCGCCTGCGTTCTTCAGGCCGAACGGCATCCCAACAAAACAGAAGTTTCCGAATGGCGTCATGAACGCCGTTTTTTCCTCATCTTCGTGGGACATTGGGATTTGGTGGTATCCCGAGAACATGTCAAGGACCACGTTTGCCAACCACTTTGGATATTTTACCGGGCGTATCAATCCTGCTGCCAATAACCGCGCGACCTCTTCCTCTATGGCCTTCAATTTGTCGCCGGTAAAGCCTCTTCGCACATGTTGCCTTGGTTCCGCGTTGATTGGAACTGCGAGGCAATGCTGGGCTATCTCCCTCGGAACTCCCGGCATGTCTTCTGTGCACCAGGCGAACATCTCTTTGTATTCCTTCAGTAGCGTTATCAGCGGTTCGATCGCATCACTGTGGACATGTGTTGAGATGCGTATTTTCTTAGTCGGCTTAGCTGGGTCGAGGGCGACCTCGAAGTCAGAATCCATAGATTCTGGACGCGGCTCCTCTGCTCTCGTGTCCACAATGTTGGTCTGGCGCGCTTCTCCGCGCTCCTCCCATAGCGTGCCCCGCGCCTCCCCAATCCCTGTCTTGGTGGGGAATTTGAGCTTCTGGTGGCATGTTAAGGGGAGAGCCATGAATTTGGCTAGGAAGGGTCGGCCGAGGATGCCGTTGTGCGCCGACTTGCAGTCGACTATTGTAAATTCAACCTGTTTGGAGAGGCGAGGATCCTGCTCTCCGACTACTACTGGGAGGGTGACCACGCCGATTACCGGGACCCTCGTTCCAGAGAACCCGACCAAGTTACCCTGTGCGCGCTTGATTAGGCGCGGGTCGATGTCCATCTGATCTACTGTGCTTTTGAAGAGGATGTCAGCTGCACTTCCGCCGTCTATTAGTAGACGGTGAATTTTACAGGCGGCAACCAGCCCAGTGATGGTGAGCGGTTCCTCCGATGGGAATCCTTGTGGGAATTCTTCATCGTCGAAGCTCAGATTGTACTTCTGCCGTGTCTCGACCGCCGCGCATTCCGCATCGCGCTCGCGCTTGGTTTTCTTTTTGGGGTGGTCCCCCTCTACCGTCACCACCCCTATCTCCTTCCGCACTACATACGCGCCTGTGGCCTCGTTGTAGTCGGCTTGCGGAGGCGGTGGTGGGTCTTGAGGACGCGCTACCTGTTCCTCTTTCTCGTGGGTGAACTCGGTCAGTAGTCCTCTTCGTATGAGGCCTTCTATTTTGAAACGTAGCTCTCTACAATCTTCTGTCCAATGCCCTGTTGCTCTATGGAAGTCGTAGTATTTCTTGGGAACGTGCATGTGTGGTAAGGACTTCAGAGGCGCGGGCCAATTGATCTTGTATCCTTTCTCGCGGAGGACGTGAAACACATACTTCACGGAATCGTTGAGCGGCGTGTAAGCGCTCGTCATGCGCCTTTCCGGCGATCGCCCTTGTTGCGCTTGCTCTTGCGGGGGAGGGGGATGGCGTTTCGGCCCGCTGTGTAGTTGCACCAATTGTTCTCGCGGCGGCACCGGAAGCTGCCTCCTGCCCTGGTCCTCTCCGGATGCTCTTGCCGGTTCGAAGCGTCTGACAGATCCCGCTCTGAGGGTTTCCTCTAGCGTGATAGCCTTCTCGATTTTCATCTCCAGTTCTGTCGATACCGTGACAGGTCTTTTCGCTAACGCCCGCTTGAGTTCCATGTTGTTTGTGGCTTCCATAAGGTGATGGGCGGCGGTCTCGGGGGTAAGATCGTGCACGGCCATTGCCACCCTGGACCATCTAGCGTAGAACGCTCGCAGGCTTTCTCCTTCCTTTTGCCTGATGTCTATCAGCGCCTTTAGGTGGAGGGGTCTTCTTTTTTGGGATGCAAATTTCGTCGTGAATAAGAGTATGAACTATTCGAATGAGCGGATGGTTCCGTTCGGCAGCCTGTTGTACCAATCGAGGCATATTCCGGCAAACGTTGACGGGAAGGTCCTGCATAGTGCCGCGTTGGAGTTGGTTTGGAGTTGCATCCGCAGGCAGAAGGTGCTTACGTGGTCTTCGGGGTCGGTCGTCCCGTTATACGTCGGTAGGGCGGGTGGCATTCCGCTCATGTGTTCCGCCATGATTTCTGCGCTCAGCGGTTGGTGGAGGGCCTTCCTGGTCGGGTTGGGACGGTATTGCGGAGATAGATGTTGCTCCAAGAAGCTGAGGTCCGCCCTGCCAGGCAGCTCAACTTGTTGCGTTTCGCACGTGGGCTGCGGTGGTAGGGCAGTCCCCGACGTTTCTCCTAGGGCTTGTTGGGGCGCGACCGGCGTCGCGCCTGCTGTGGCCGTGGCCTCTTTGCTCATCATGAGCGCTATGACCTGGCTCATTTGTTTCTGCATGTCAGCTATGATGTTGTTCTGCTTTGCCATTAGCTGTATCATTTCTTTGGCTGTGAGTTCGGGCTCTTCTTCTTCCAGGAGCATCGTGTTGAGATTGCTAGTTTCCGCGAATTCCCTTGGGTTGGTCATCGCTTTGATGGGCGTTGATTCGTCAGGCGAGTTGGAATTATGCTCTGCCATTGGTCAGTTTTCTTTTGCTTCTCTACTTGGCCCCACGGTGGGCGCCAATTGTTTGAGCCTAACTGGTGTGTAGCAGTGAGACTCGGGAAGATGGGTCAAGGAGAGTAAGCAATGGGAGAATAACCGTCGATGGAAGAACTGAGGAAATTACGAACAGGGTTGAGAGAGAAATATCTTAGAGAGAGAAGTTGATAATCTTAGAGATAGAGTCAGAAAAATCCGATCCCCTCACCCACCGGAGTAAATGCTCTATTTATAGGCTACATGGTAGTGGGTGAGGGACATGGTGACATGACCACTGACATGTCAGAAGACTAGACCATGCCTCTACCTAGGACAAGTACATCTAGCCTTTTATTATACCTAGGACTAGGACTAGGACTGTGATGTGACCACTCGATGGACGAGACGCGGCGTCGTTTTCCACACTTGTTAGCTTGGCCAGCGCTGCGCTCGGACGCCGTCGTTCAGTGCTCGGCCTCTTTGATCGCGTCGGCGTTGACGTGCGTAGCGCTCTTGGTGAAGGCGCTTGCCGGTGTGTCTTTCTAATCGCGTCAGTGATAACGCGCTCATTTACTTTGACGCTTTCAGTGTTTCTCTGGCGCGGCGGGATCCGAGTCACATACCCAACAGTTTCTTATTATAATTATTAATTAATTACATGAAGAAAAAAACTAAAAACTAAAAGGGAGATGAAAATCATTCACCCTCACTTTACTCCTCATCTCTCCCCATCTCCTCTGACTCAGCCCCTCATAGAACATACCAATGCTCCGGTGAGGCCAGTGGTGGCGCCACCACCTACTCCTCAAAACCAACCTACCTATGAAATCAATTACCCCTCACCCCACTCTTTTCTAAACGTCTCTCTTTCTTACCTTCTATGTTCCTTTCTCGCCTCTTAGAACCATCACACACAAATCTACACTGCAGCGACGCGGTCGCCAATCCCCCCGCCGCAACCACCAGCTCCATCTCAGACTAGAAGTGCGGATCTGGAGATAGGATACCGGATCTAGAAGTCAGAGTGGTTGCAGATGCCACCGGCAAATTGAGCGAACCCTAATCTATGTTCAAGGTTCGATTAAGAAGTCGGAGAAGAGCGATGGTGGTCCGGAGCTGAAGAATGTCGTCAATTTGTAGACGTTGAGCATTCGAATCTCGTCGTCGATGTAGAAGGGGATTTTTCGCTACCACCTCCCACTCCGGCGCCGCCAAGACCCCATTCACTGATCGCAAACACAAAGCATAGGCCGCTTTGGAATCCGACCATCGTTCCTCCTGCAGGAGAGATTTCTTACTCAAGACCAGTTTCGCGATGGATTTCCACGTGCCCTCGTCAATCTCTATTATCGCTTTCTTCTACGCCAACGACCTCCCCATGGATGCTTCATCATTGGACGGACGAGGTAGAACGATAGCGACAATCGATGATTGGAGAATAGGGATTTGGCTTTATGAGCTGGTGGTGATGCCGATTCTAGGTTTAGGGCATAGGTGTGATTTGGCCAATCAATCCATCGACGGAAGACGAGTTCGGTGGTGAGAAACGAGACGGATTTCGTCAAATCAAGAAGGGCATTGTTTTGCAAGGTTTTGGGAGTTTCGGTTGGGAAGAACAAGAAGGGGGTAGGTAGATTTGAATTACGAAGATTTTGGATTGGATTTCGACACAATGTGAATAATTAAAGGGAACTAATAAATTATTATACAAGAAATTTTATTTACATCAGAGTTGCGAAATGGTGGAATCCATGTCAGCTATGACGGACAAGACGAGTCCAGTTGGCGATAACATGTTGTTCAAGTAAAGTCCACGTTAGCGCCACGTACACCTTATTGACGGCATTTCTGACGGCGTCAAAGTTTGTAATAAAAATGGCTAAATTTGAAAATAAAGTTTCAAAAGTGTGCCTATATTTGTGTATTTTTCAAAATTTGGCTATTATTGTCACAAGGTGAATAATTATGGCTATGAAAATGTATTTTGCCTTTATAATTTAATGTATTATTATGTGTGCTCTATTTATAATATCCTTGTTTACGATGCACCAATTCATCACAATTTTTAATTGCTTAATACTAATTAGACCAGTAAAGTGTGAGATACTGGCTCCACCGATTCATACTCCGACTCTATTCTAACAATCTCTATTGTAGCATTTTAGGTCAGGTTTGTGGACAGTTGTTTCCCCAGCGAAACCAAATACCAACACCAGTGCCGAATTCATTTCCGGCGATGTTGATTTGATGTTTCGCGATGGAAACTCTCGCAGTGTCGTTGATCGGATGCACCGTTGATTGCTGAAATGGAGACGACCGTCAAATATCCACTAGGCGGTGCTGATTTAATCAGTGCAACTCTGATTTCTGAAAATGATGACGATCGTCAAATATCCACCGGGTGGTGTTGATTTGATCGATGCGCCACTGACTTCTAACCAAGACGATCGTTAATCGGTTTGCACCTCTCCAAACTACGTTCGAACGAGGGTGTTTGAGTTTTTGGGGGAATCTAAGTTACGACTACTCCTATGGAGATTCCTGTGGAGAGCTCCGCGACTACGACTAAAACTACAACTATGGAGATCCTTCCTGGAAGGAGAGCTCCGCGAAGGAGTCGCAGAGAAAAAGGTAAGTTAGGAACAGAGTTGTTATGTGTTGATTTTTGGTTGTCCCTTCTCTCTCTTGCTCCGCTGCTTTTATTTGAAAAGCATCTTCGTAGTCTTTACGCTCCGTGAAACCGCTTCCTCAACTGCTCCGTTGTGAACTCTCACGTGTCTCAACCGCCTTGATGTCCTCAAACGGCTTCGCGTGAACTTACGTGCAAGAAAATAACTCCCTTATTTTCATGAACCTGCGACGTTGCTCACACCTTCACGGCTCCACCAACAAAGTTTTCTTAACGACGTCGTTGAACCCATTTACGACAATGCTTAGCTCGCGACGCTGTCAATCTCGCGCCAGCGTCAACCTCACGACATCGTTGATCTCGCGATGTCGTTTTTATCTAAACGGCATTGTCCAAAATAATTATTGGAAATGTTAATCAATTAATCTGGACATTCGATCATCGCGACATTGTTTTAAAATTAAATGACTCCGCTTCCAGTCTCGCGGTGTCGTTGGCTCACTCGAGCTTTGCGGCATCGTTGTCATGTTAGGCTCGACGTTGTTCTTGCGGAACGAAGCTGTCTTCTACTACCACGACATCGTTTATGCTGCAATCTCTCGCGACATTGTTTTTACTAAACATTGTCGTTTCTTAGTACAGTGGTACCGTTGGGATTTCACTTTTTTGCGACATAGTTAAATTCTTACAACACTGCTTTTAACTAAACAATGTCGTTTTCTTAGTGCCGCATTGTTATTTTTGCCTTGCATGACTGTGAGGCTACCAAGCAACGCTGGGATATGGTCAGGCGAATTCACGACAATGATTTATATCAAACACTGTCGTTTTCTAATCTGCGGTGTCGTTTTTAGCTAAACAACACCGCTTGGTTCTACCGGCGACATTGCTTGTCACTAAACGGTACTGTTTTTTATCCTTCTCCGACAAGGAATAAAAAGCACTCATTTTCCAACCCCAACACCAACATTCAAAACCGCTCACGGCATTGTTTTCTACTAAAACAATATCGTTTCAAGTACCGCAGCATTGCTTGTCTTTCAACGACACCGTTTTTTTGTCATGCGACATCGAATTAAATGCCGAAACTAGTTAATCCAACATTTAATTTAGGCCAAAAATATTTTAGGCCTAAACAACAGCCTTACCGATACCCTCTCCTAAAATGCCTGCTACAAGCACATTAGCAAACTGCAAATCAACGAACAATTGCAATTATGAATAGAAAACACAGGGCAAGGCTTCCAGGTTAATAAGCAAACATGGAACACCACGCTATCAAGCTTGACAGAAATGTGTATTGGGATGTAGGCCTCAATAAATGGCAATAAGCCAATACCTAACAAAAGAGAAATAGAATAAAGATGGGAATGCACCAACTGGAAGCATTCAGAAATGAATAGTTGCCGAAACAAAATTGTTTGAAGCTTTCTCCTTCAATCTAATTTATGTGAAGTGATATGCCAAGACAAACTAAAGCCTAAAACACGAAAGATCAAAATGCTGCAGATAAACAAATAACTGGGAAAAAAATTTCATGCCGCAATGCTTAGTTCTTCGTCAGACCCTATTTCCTCGTCTAGCTCTTTCACCGCGCGTATGAGGCCCTTGGTAATGCCATTCAGATGCAAGCCACTGTCTTTCATTTGCTCCAACAGCTCTTCTGCTCTTCTCCAATCCAAGGCCTTCAAACAAAGGGACTGAATCAACTTAGTGTACTCATCTACACTAGCCTGAACACCAAACTCCTTCATCTCTGCCAACAACCCTAAAGCCTTTTCATATTGTTCCAGCTTGCAGTACCCACGAATAAGTGTATGGTACGATACAGGACTTAACTTGGTATGCTTCTTTTTTGCCTCTGAAAGTAGTTTGCAAGCCTCTTCCATGCAGCCACCCCTCACATAACCACTCATAGTCACAGTGTAAGTGTAGACATCGGGTTTTAGTCCCCTGCTCTTCATCAGCTTCATTGTCTTCATTGCTCCATCCATATCCCCAGCTTTAGAATAAGCGTTGATCACCAGATTGAAAATAGCATTTCCAGGTGGCGGACCATCAGCAATCATCATAGAAAGCAATGATTTTGCCTCAGCAACATCCTTAGATCTACACAAACCATGCATAACGGCTGCAAAAGGTTTGATGGCGTATTTCCTAGATTCCCCGGAAAAGCCATCCAACATTTCTAGAGCTAACTTGACAGTCTCATCCTTGCGAGCAAGCAAAGCAATCAAGAAATTAGTAGACGGCCGTGGTGGGTACCTGTTTTTCTCCTTCGCTGACATATAAACCATATGCGCATCGCTTGCCCTGTTCGCTTTGCAGAACCACGAGATGATCTTTCCAACCTTCTGAGGATCCTCGGGAAGAAGTCCGACATTCAGCATTTTCTCACAAACTTCCCAAGCCCATTCAAAGAATGATCTTCTCGAGAGTGCTTCAATTGTATAATAGTAGGTATCACAATCAGGGACACAGCCAAAATCCCCCATCTTGTTGAAAACATCAAAAGCGGCCTTGCCTTTACCCAACTTGGATAACAGTGCAATCAACGGGTTAATAATCTGTGCATTCAGCAGAGTAGCAGCTTCCCCATTATCATCACCAACCTCCACAATCAGATCCCACAGTGCGTATGCGTCTTTCTTCCTCGCATGACAACAAGCGCATATCGCCTTAACAAGTGCCTCAACCAGCTGGGAAGTCACCACAACTGCATCAGACTCCTTGCTTCTAGCCCAGTTGAAAAACCTAATCAAATTTGGGCCCAAAAGGTTGGGCGTCTCGAGCACTCTCAGCACCAACTCTTCGTGCAAATCCAACTCCAATCCGTTAAGCGTTGACTCCAGAGACCCATCAGCACTGCTCTGCAGCAGAGAAAGCACGGTCTCCAACTTCTCCAGATCAATCTCGTAAACACGTTCTTCTACGGGCAATTCATCAACAGCAGCTTCAGGGCTGAAATTATCAGCTTCGTTCAACTCCTCAATACCAATGGCCGTGTCGGCATCCCCTAATCTCTCCCTATCAGCACTCTCAACAAAATCATGGTGAATGGGAGCAGAGGGGAAGTCGAAGCCGGCGTCCGCCGCAGGGTGCGACGAAAGCGGCGGCGGCGTTTCTTCTAGGGTTGGGCTGACAGACGAGGAAATGGACAGAAATCGGAAGTGATGATGCGGGGATGAATGAGATGAAGGTCGGAGTAGTACCTTGTCGAGGATTTGAGTAACCCGGGTGGATTTGGCGGCTACGGACCTCCACATGCTCACTGGTTTAGCTGAAGCCAAAACCCTAAATTTCAGCGGAGGTTCTAAGCGGAAAGAGTAATTATGAGGGTTTTGTGGATCCCTTGAAGCTGCCTCCAATCGGAGTTTCGCGCTGCCGCTGCTATGGAAGAAGGGAGTCGCTAGTCGCTACTACTTTGCCAAAATCAACGCCAGCTGAGTTCTCAAATCGGCAGTACGATCGACGTTCGACAATCGACACCACACTAAACACTAAACAGTGAGTCGAGGAGGGGTTTTGAGATTTTCATTAGTACTGTACAATGTTTCAAGGGTGTACGCATTTGGTCCTTCAAGTTTACAGGACTTACAAGTGGCGTGCATGTAATGGGGTAAAATACTTCGGGTGCCATTTAAATTTGACAATTTGGGTAGACATACCATTTAACTTTGAATAGGGCGTCAGGTACTATTGAAGTTGTCAAAATGTGCATCCGTTTACTTTTTCATCCAACCCAAAATTTTAATTACATTTTGATACCCAAAACTTTTAAAAACATATAAAACTATATTTCAACAAGTTTTATCTAATATAATAATTAGAAAACCTTCTAACATATTATTACTAGAATGGCTAATCCAAATTTTTCAATGAAATAGATAAATTAGTAAAAATAGTAAACGAATATTAAGAAGAATAATTAATATGCTATAATATAATGATAAATATTTAAAATAAATATTAGAATATAGTTAAAATATTTTTCACCAAAATAAAATAGTTAAAATAGAACCTAATCGATTATCAATACATCAAAATCAAAAAGGATAAATGGAACATAATCAGAAAGAATTAAACATATTTCATTAATTAAAAAAAATTAGAATGAAAGAGATGAAAAGTAACCAAGTAATAAATAAAATATAAAAGCTACAACATTCGGTAAAAAAATATGGAAAAGAAAATATGACTACAAAAGCTACATTACAACATTGTTTAGTTGCAACATTCATGGAATAATTCAATTATTAGAACACATAATGATAATTGATTCTAAAATTGCTATTCAAAATTGGTTTGATATCAAGTATTCAAAAGATGATTCTAACTAAACAATAAAATGATATTTTTCATAAGTCCAAATGATTTTTTATAATAAGAAAAGTAGAAGGACCAATTATGAAAATTAGAAAACGGAATATTCCAAGAATATTCTGTCAACTTTAACGAAATACACTTTAACAGTAAACTTAAGAGGTACCGGGTGCACATATAATAGAGTTCAGTGGTACCTGACACCCTATTCAAACTTAAGTGGTATGCCTACCCCAATTCTCAAACTTAAGTGGCACCCGAGGTATTTTACCATGCATGTACTTCATTTCTTTTTATATAAAATGGTTAATGCACCTTTTGGTCAATCGCCCCTAGGGCTGAGAATCCGGTCCCGGTTTCAATCGCAAACCGGATTCCCTAACACCCAATCAAATTGCCGATCGATAGCTGATTGGAAAAACCGATCCGGTCCGGACCGGTTTAAAATCAGAAAACTTTTTAAAACTGGTTGATGAGTTAAGCCCAGGCCCAGCCCAGACCTTAGCCCAAATTCACCTCCCACTCCTCCCCCAGCCCAGCCCGCGCCCGACAGCCCACTCATCTACTCCAAACTCCAAGGTCCAAACTTGGGAAACCCTAATCCGGTAATCGATCTCCCTCCCCACCCCAGTCCCTCCTCCATTCTCCTGTAACCTCCTCCACCTCCCTCTGCCGGCAGGCATTGGCGGATCTAGGGGGTGGCCAACCCAGGCCCAGCCCTCCTCTGAATTCAAAGTTAGTATAGTCCTTATAAATATTTCGATTTTAGACATTCGGTTCAATGTTATTTTATAATAAGATTGTGTATAACTAGAAAAATAATTTGTATGAACATATTCAAATAACTACTCTAAATTTAGCTTATAAATTCTAGCCCCAAAGATTGTCGTCTAAACAAAAATAACGGAACCTAAAATTTTAAAAGTCTAAAGCGTAAAAGACTAATAAAAGAAATATGAGATTTATTCCATTGAAAATTTAATAGAGCAGCTGTTGGATATAGGGATGGACACATAATGGAAATTGATTAGTCGATTGATTTTAGTGTTGACGCTGTCCGTTTCCACAGCTACTACGGCGAGAACCTTATCAACAATGAAACATGTGAAAACTGATTAGTGCAACAAAATGAGCGATGAATTACTCGCCGGTTGCTCAAGTATTTTATTTGAAACAGAGCATACTATTGGTATGGATGTAGACTCCATTATTGATGCATTCGCTATATTAAAACACCATCGTGAACAATTGACATTGTAAAAAAATATAAAATCATTATCCTTTTTACGATATCTAATTTCTAATGAAATGCGGCCCAGTGCGCTATTGTGTTCTGGATCCGCCGCTGCCGGCAGGTGCTGTGCCTGACGATCTGCCTTCGCGTTCGAGCCTCGAGGAGCAGCCGATTGACGACTGACGGTGAAGCAAAGCGGAGGCGACATCGATCTGCTCCCCTCCATCTCCTTCCGTTCACACCTTCGCGATTTGCCTTCTCGTTCGAGGAGCAGTCATTCTCCATCCCTCGACGGCAGTGACGAAGCAAACGGCGAGTGACGGAGCACAAAAATAGAGGGGAGGTGTTGCTTGGTTTTTGACCCTGTTGGTCAGGCGCTGGTTTTTGTTGGGGAATTCGGTCAAAACGGTTTTCCGGTTAAAATCGGACCAAACCGCATTGCATTCAATCCGGTTTGGTTAAAAACCGTGCTCCAATCCAATCCCGTCTTCGGTCGTGTGTATGTCCAATCCGATTTTAAAAAACCGGGTCAATCAGGTCTGGTTTTAACCAAACCGGATCGCCCCTATCTATAACTACTAGGGTGGGATTCGATCCGATTAGGTTACAACAGACCAGATTAACCCTATTTTTTGTTTGATTTTTCACGAAAATAGGAACAGTAAATCAAATAGTTTCTTAACTAGACCATATAATTATGGTTGGGTCGTTTTAATTCTGAAACCGAAATGACTTAATTTTCCTCAAAACAATGCTAGTTAACTTAAACCATGACAGGGCAAATTTTGATTGGGCGCAAATTCTTGAATGGTTTGTGGGATGCATGAGGTTGAGCATGGTTTAGGGGGAGCTCTTCTTGAGGAAGTTCCACGTCTATCGGTCTATATCTTTTTTTTTTTTTTTTACTTCTATTCCATTTAGCGGTACGAAACGTTCTTTCATCAACAGTTCAGTTATGTGTCGACTATCACGCGTGATGAGCCGTGTGTTGGGAGCTATTTTTATTTTTATTGACAAATCCTATCTATGTTAAAAAAATCCTTAAACCATAATAAAATTATTAAAGTGAACTAAACGTAATTCTCGATTGATAGCTAGCAGTCTAAAGGGACCAAAATGGGCACTAACATCTCAAGTGTTACACTGTTAGCACCATACTAACACAATTCATTAAGGTTGTTTCGGTCAAACACAAATGCTCGTTCACTCGTCCCACTCCCATCTCACCTCTATCTCTCTTTACTCTACATCGTATTCCTTGTGAGTTCAACCGTTGCTGAGGATTGGTTTCCTTCTTTCGCTATGTTGCCCTAGTGTGAAATTTTTCGTATTTTAGCTCCCATCTTCTAACCAAGCCACTCTCGATCTTAGGTGCCACGTATTTCTCGTGCAAAGATTTATGCCTTCTCAGTCTCCAATCTCCACCGTCTTGCCTTAACGTTCGTCTTCTCCTCCATATCCAACCATTCCAAAATTTTATTCATTTCAAGTAGAGGTGGCAAATGAATTGGATCCATGGATTGGTGTATTGGATTAGTAGATGGATCAAATGAATTGATGGATTCATGTGTTGGATTTGGATTATATGAATTGGTGGATTGATCCATGAATCCAAATGACATCCAAGCCTTTGACATTATGCAAAATTTAAAAAGGTTAGGTACTAAAACGTAATAATAAAAAAATTTAGGTACCAAAATGTCAATTATTTCTTTTATCGCCCCAAACATGCCAATATTCGCACTAACAGTATGTAAATGTAACTTGTTAGTCAAACAACTATTCAAAGTTCCTAAAGCTCCTTGTAAGGCTTGTTGGAGGACCTTTTTGGTGGACTTGAGTAATTGCTCTTTCTTGTTCAAAATGAATGGTTTCATTTTTGTAATTTTCTTTTAGAAGTTGAATGAATCAAAATTACCTTTTCTCATTCTATCTCATAATATCCATTTGCAAGTAACTAATTTGCCTCCATTTCCACTTTCAAAAGCGGGCCCGGGTTTTTTCCAGCTACTCGATTGCCCCCTGTAATTCTTCTGAATTACGAATAGTATTCAAAATCCTTTGTTTTCGATCCCAATGATTTTTTTGTATAAAAAATAAATTTTAGTGACCAAATTGTAAAATATTAAAAATATAGTTATTGAATTGTAATTTTCTAAGCATCCATGAATCTACCAATTCAATTAAATTTAAATCAAATGTATTAAATTTAAATGTATTAGATTAGTTGGATATTTAAGTGGATAAATTGAATTGAATTAGTGAATTGATTATAAATTACCACCTCTAATTTCAAGCCATCCTAGCCCAACAAACTTAGCCCCGTTTGGAAGGAGGAAGTGGTTGTCCCCTTTTTAAATCGTCTATGTTAAAGACTTGAAGGAGTGATTTCTTCAAGCAAATGACAAAACAAACACCCATAGACAAAACAAGGATGAAATCCTAAAATAAACATTTTTTTTAAATTCCCAAAATACACACATTATAAAAAAATTCTCAAAGTACACAAGTTTGGGCATCACTGCGGCTGTCAACCGCAGTGAATGCATTCACCGCGGCAAACGAAAGCGGTGAATGCATCACTGCGGTTGACAGTCGCGGTGAATGCCTAACGTAACACCGAAACTTCAAATGAATGTAACTTTGCGCTCAGTTATCCGATTGTAGCGAAATTTTTTGTGATTCCGCATAACTTTTCAAGATCTTTCAATATGAAACAAACTTTCATCTAAAAAATGTCGCTTGTTATCCCGATCGAGCAATTTTTCGATTTTTCCAAACTTTGGAAGGCCATAACGTTTAGTTCCTCAATCCGAACGTCGTAAAGTTTTTTTGATTGCGCATAAATTTTTAAGAACTACAACTTTTACTAGGAAAGATTTTTTAATAAAGAAATATTTTTGGGTATACGGGATTTTGGGAATAACTTTGTCTTTACTTTTCACAAATCCACATACGTTCCAAAGTTATGGTTATAATCAAAGTTGTAGTCCATCAAAAGTTATGCGAAATCAAAAAAAGTTTTATGACATTCGGATTGCGGAGCACAAAGTTATGATCTTCCAAAGTTTGTCAAAGTTGATAAATTGCTTGTTCGGGGTAGCAAAAAAAAATTTTAGATGAAGGCTTGTTGCAGATTGAAAGATCTTGCAAAGTTATGTGAAATCATAAAATAATTCGCTACAATAAGATAGCCGAGTGCATAATTACGTTTGTTTGAAGTTTCAATGTTACGTCAGGCATTCACCGCGACCGTCAACTGCAGTGATGTCCAAACATATATTTTGGGAATTATTTTTTATAGTGTGTGTATTTTGAAAATTCTTATTAAAAACAGGTGTATTTTGAGATTTTTTCCACAAAACACAGCCAAACATCAAATGCATGTTTTATTGAACTGAGAAGTGAGGACTAGTTCACCGCATTCTTCATGATTCAGATTTAAAATTGCATTGCATAATGTAATAATTAACACAACAAAACGAAACTTTATTGAAGGTTTAGTGAGGAATAAATGATCTCAAAACATGACTTACAGGCAACAGCATTGCAGGCAAACTTAGTCATTTCATTTGCAGACAAACGAAGGACCTTTCAAACACTTATGGACAACTCACAGGGACTTCAATCTTCCGAAACCTAAGCAACACATTTATGTTGCATATGGATGGTAGACATTTCCAGTCACGATTACAATAATAACAAAAGGAAACAACTCCAAAAACGCACACTAACACATCCTAGTCAAAAGGCCATCCTGAATAACCCATCTGGTGATGAGTGTTTTCATTCATAGCTGCAGAGCTGCTTCCGGTAGCTGCCCTGCTGTGGCCAGAGCTGGAACCAGAAGTGCGGAATGGCCACAAAGAAGAGAAAGGGTTCCTTCTTCCTTCTCTGCCACTAGTCCTGCTTCTTGAACTTGATGAGCCTGGTTGACTGCGGCTACCACTGGATCCCTGCAAAGGAAGCTCCTGGCGACAAACAGGACACGAGTTATGCTGTACAAGCCAGGGAACTATGCAGTCAGCGTGATATAAATGGTTACAAGGCATCTGTCTTGCTTCAGTTCCAAGTTCAAATTGATCCTTGCACACTGGACAGTGAGAATCAGACCCTCGAAGATGCCTTTGAGTAATCTTGACTGTTGGCATTGCATCAATTGATGATCGAGCTGCTGGTGCTGGCCCACGCCTATCATTTGTGGAGAGATGCTCGAACAATTCTTCAAGCCCAGGACCAATGAAATAATCACCACCATTTCCCCTCGTGACCTCGATTCCTGGGGCTCCAGGGAAAAGCGAGTCGAACCCGCCATTCCCTGATAGCCGAAACGGGATCTGGCCACCAAAAATCAGCAGGGGACCAAATCCAGGACCCTGTTCGTGAACTGGATCTGACGACCTGGGCCTCGTTTCATGTCTATGGCCTCGATCGTTTAGTCTTTGCCTCATAAGGGCTGAAAAGGCTTCCATAAGTCCGAACCTATGGTCGTGATCGACATCATTGCCGAGTCCAAAGTAATCCAGAGGGCCGATTTGCCCCATTTCATCAAGTTCTTGAACAAATCCACCACTGCAGTACGGACAAACTGCATCTCGTCCTCTCAAATGAACTGTTCTCCTGCATCTGTAGCACCAGTGGGTGTTTCTACTGCTTGACATAGTCTCTTCTTCTCACCTACTTTCCAGATGTGAAATCAAAGGAAAAAACAGTTTACTTTCTGGCAAAAAAAAAAAAAAAGCAGTGCTTCCATATATAAGTTGGTCTCCAAAACTTTTTGCACAATGCAATAACAGTTCCCAAATTGTTGGACATACAGTTAACACAAACAAAACAAGAATACAGCTAGTGCTTCTTTCTATGCATCCATAAAACAGGCATTTAGAAGTTATGCATACAAAAGAGCAAATGATAAAAGTTCATAAAAAGGAACGAAGGGCAAACAAAATTGAACATGAGAAGAACACTGGAGTAAAGTAAACACAGCATTCAGTAGTTTACTGCTGCTTAAGTTTCAAGACAAATATACTTCCAATCTCTCAGTTGGGCTTGTTTCTCCAGTGCACAAGAAGAAAAGAAGAACAATCAATGAACAGTCAAACAAGGCAAAAACCATACAAGTAATCGATCAACTTTCGAACGCTATAATGATATTTCATTTCTCTTTATGCATGCCCATTCCTCTTATGAAATGAACAAGCTGACTGCGAGCTATACATGGAAACCAAGCCATAAATGACTTCAATCAATAAAGAGATCTAGCCGATTGCCATAACACCAATAAAAGTAAAACACAACCATGCTCCAATCTTTCTCCCTCGAGTACTCTAAATCACCAAATAAACGCTTAAGACAAGCTCGATTCTCAGCCAATGAAAGATCCTCAAACAATCACTGTACCAAAATCAACTAATAATCCCCCCCCCCCCCCCCCCCCCCCCCCCCCCCCCCCCCCCCCCCAAAAAAAAACAAGTTGACCTCCAACGAGAAGGAAATGAAGGAACCCAATCATCAGAAGCTTTCAACCGAACTCTCAGGTAGATAAGTCACGCACAGTGCAAGATCCTTGGATCAAGAATCAAAACCCAGGAATTGAACATCTCGCTTCTATATCGAAAGCCAGAAAAAGGGGGGAAATCCAACGAGAACCCAAATCACAGGCAAAGTAAAATCACAAATCAAAGAGTGAAAAACTAGACCTGCTTCTTTCTCGAATCGAATATGAAGCATCAGAGATCGCTATCAGAAAGATAGAGCGGACAGAAATCGGAGATAGTAATAAGGAACGGGGAAACCTGGCTATTTACCTTGCCGAGAGCGGGGCGAGGATAGAGCGAATGGATCCAAAGTTCTTCCAGAGATGCTGCCGAGAGAGAGGCAGCCAGCCCGTCACTGCAGTGTAGTGATGACTGATGAGAGAAGCGCCTGAAAACAGAAACTACAGGAACGAAGGTGGGGTTATGTTATTACTTATTAGTTAACTAAAAAAACTTTATCCTTACTGCCACGTGAGCCATTCTGTGTAGAGCGTACAACTTGAACAACAAATGTCAGCTGCGTAGTGTGTATGATAGTTGTTATGTGGGTGGCATTTAGCTCGGTTGAACTAGGGTTCGTTTGCTTGTTGGATTTTATAATAAAGATTTTTAGTTTTTAAAATTTTAAGATTTGTGATGGTATGTTGTATTTCAGATTTGAAAAAGTTCATTGTTAGTGTTGATTTTTTTATCATGAATTTGTAGCTTTTTGTATCAAGGGCCCCACAGATTTGTCTTCCATCATCCAAATTCCGAATAAAAGGCGAGTCCGTTGGATCCATGGATTTGGATCAAAGAGATTGTCCAAATCTGTGGGCCCCATGGATTTGATATCCAATATTTTTATACAACAAACAATGGAATTTGTCAAATCAATCATGCTTGGGATTTGGGTGGCAAATCCATCACCCAAATCCAACAAGCAAACGACCTCTAAGTTTAATATCATGAAATCGGCTGAAATGTTACTCGCAAGATGCTTTGGTCAATTCCGGCAAAGATTAAGAATTTCAGTTAGTCTAACTGAAATACATAATTTCCAAATTGATTGATGCAACGTTGTATTGGTGTGATTAAGTTAAAAAAAAAGTTGGTGGTCTTTTTTCATTTTACAAATCCCTAACTATGCATCGCAGAGAGCTCTGAGGCGCGAGAGGCTAGGCGATGACGAGGCAAGCGACAAGGTTTCGGTAGGCAGTGAGATTTGGAAGCGACGAGGACTCTACACTCGGCAGTCACGACGAGGAGCGACACCACACTCTCTCCACAGGGTTTATGTTAAAAAAGAGTTGATTATTCAACGCAAATGGGGATAGAGATGGACTTCACAGTAAAATAATTATGGAATACAATTACATCATGCTCTGGGGACAAGGCACTTGGACCCGTCAGTTTCAGTCTCTCATTCTACAAATCATGTTGGGAACTATCAAGCTCGACCTTCTCAACTCTCTCCCGCATTTCCAGCAAACCCCCACCCTATCTTAGTATGGCAACAACACATTCCTCACCCTTCTTGTAACATCTCGAACCTTTTCGAGACGAAGATATTGTCCGCTTTGGGCCTCGACACTCACGGTTTTCGACTTGGGGTGCAAGGTGACTTCCCATAAGGTCACTCATCCTTGTTGTACTCCACACTGAGCACGTTTAACTTTGGAGTTCTCACAAGAACTCCTCCATTTCACCCCAAAAAGTGTCTTGTTAGTTAAGGCCGGTTTCCTACTTATGAACCATGGATCTCTCCCGTGCTTTGTCGATGTGGGATTTTCCTAAAGTGTTACACTTCTTTTGAAAAAGGATTCTATTGAGGATATCAAAGACACCAGACTAATAGCATCATTGGAAGTTTATACAAACTTTTGGCAAAATCAATTATGTTATGAATGAAGGGGTACATGAATTCCATCATCTCGTCAACACAATATGCCTTTGTTCATGGTCGGCAAATCCTTAATGTTTCTCCAATTGTTAATGAGGTTATTGAATCAAGAACAAAAAGTGGCAACGAGGCTTCTACTCAAACTTGACATCGAGAAGGTATTAATCATGTAAATCGGGGATTCCTATAAATCTGCCTATAGCTAATGTGTTTTGGTTCTAAGTGGAATTTATGGATTTGAGCTTGCACATCTACTGTTCATCAATCCATTTTACTCAATCGATAATCCACACAATCCTTCAATAATTTTTTAGGGCTTCGGTATAGAGATCCTCTATCCCCCTTTCTTTTCATCATCATTATGGAAGGGATGTCACTTACCTTTGACAAATTAAAGAGGCTAGTTTGATTTTAGGTTTCGACATGAACCATGAAACTTTTGTATGTCAAGTTTCTCGTCTTTTAAATGCAATAGACATCCTCCTTTTTGTGATACCAACTATAATGAAATTTTGCACATCAAAGAAACCCTTTGATGCTTATAGATGATCTCTGAGGTTAAAATCAATATGTACACGTATGAGATTTATCTGTTGGAGTTGTTCCAGAAGTAACACAATTTGCTAAAACCTTGGGATGCAAGCTCGGACAGTTACCTGGAATCTATCTTTGTTGTCAGTTGGTGCTCATTCGACTGCCTCCTCTACGTGGATCCGGCCAGTTGTGAATGGCCTTTCTAGTTGATTATCCTCTTGGAAAGGTACTTGGCTTTTATTTGGAGGTCTATTGATTCTCATAAAAAGCACTCTCACTTCCTTAGAAGTTTATTACCTCTTGTTGTTCCTTGTTCTATCTTTAGTCATCAACAAAGTAGAATCAAATCTTAAAGCACTTCCTCTTATGAAGAGCTAAAGAGAGCAACAAATATCATTTGGTTACTTAGAATATCACCAAATCTACTCGTTTCGTAGGAAGGCTTGGCCTCATGAATCTTCATTATTTCAACCTTGATCTTCTAGTAAATGGGCTCCATCACTGCTACTAAGATCATCAAGCTTGATGGAGAACTATAATCGCCTCTAAGTTTGGCTATCACACTCCTTCATGGAATCTGCATAGTACAGCACGAACCATGGGCACCTCTCTTTGGCATCGTATCATTGAAGTGGAACATTATTTTTTATAGTGCAGTGTCGTGAAACCGAGTACATGTTCATCTATACCCTTTATGGGATGATACTTGGATGTCGCGATACAACTTGGCTACCTCCTTACCCGAGCTTTTCTCCACGACAACAAAGGCACTATAGTTGTTGATGTTGTCATGTTATTCAATAACTATTTCACATGGAATGTCAACATCATGTACACTTCTAGAGGCGCTTTGCTAAGAACTTTGTAGCAGTCAACAACCATCTTATCACAAGTCTTCATTCTTGGTTACTCAAAACTGAAGACAAGCTTCATTCTCTTCTTCCAAACAATAAATTCTCTATGAATGCTTGTTACGAGTTCATCACGCAAGACATGTTTCCTAGCTTAGAAGAACCATTTTCGGAAAAATGCATTTGGAACCCAGTAGTAACAAGATATCAACTCTTTGGACAGCCTACCAAGGAAATATCCTCATTCACGATTAACCGAAGCTCCAAGGTCGGTAGGGCTCATGATAGATCAATTCAAACATTTGTGCATGGAAAAAATCCAATATCCTCGCTCCCCATGATGATTTAAGTCTATATCACTTACTTTTTGAAAACTCGAAGGCGTCTTTCCATCCTCTTTGATAGCATATTTTAGCGGTTGCAACATTCCCCACTCTCTATGTATCTCTACCTCTCCATCTAGTTTCTGCACTCACACTCTTTCTTTCCTTTTTAATTTTTGTATCTCGAGAGCTAGTCCCCTAACTTATGTGCACTCACTATTTTGGTGAATAAAATTTAAGCACACATGAAAAAAAATTAGCTATTAATTAGTCCCAAGATATATTTCTCATGTCACTCAAAGTCTTGTAAAATTAATTTAGTTATAATTTTGGACTATTTTGTTAGTTAACAAATCCTAGCTTAACTAAATATTGAAAAACTAATTCCACACTAAAGTGTATGATATGCACTCGTTTTCGTAAATATGCCAAAAATCACCATTTATAATTAAGAGCATCCACATCAATGATATTTTTTCAATTGCATATCATATTCCTACATCACACTCAATATGAAATTGCAAAAGGCATTGTAGATTTGCATCAATGTAGTGGACACTTGCAAAGATGCAAGCTTGCAATAAATAATAAAAAAATCATTTATTTTTTTCTCTTGATTGGTTTATTTATTTATATTATAAATCACTTAAACCCTCATATGCAATTGCAAGTGAATTGCATTGATGGGAAACATGGACGGAGCCAGGATTTTAAGTTAGGGGGCCGAAAATTTTTCTGAAGGTGAGAGAGTAGTGAGAGAAAACGCTCCCAAATTTTGGGCGAGTCTGGTTTCCGATTAGGGCTGGGCTGGCCGCCCCGACATCTGCGCCGGTGCCAGTTTCTTCCTCGATCAGTTTTCTAAATTCTTGGTAGCGAGAGGCGGTGAGTTCATGGCGTTCGGGAGCACCTCTGTCCAAGGCATTCCTCTAAAGCCTTGGGCGGAGCTATTCGGGATTTCAGAAGCTAATCGTCTCTGCTATATGAAACCGGAGGTGTTCAAGGGTGGACTCCGGATGCCGAAGGAGGTGAGTGACGAAGGTGCTGCTCGCTGGAAGCACAGCTTGGTGGGTCAGTTTCTTCATCCTTTCCCGGCAGAACTCAGGCGGTGTGCAAATCGAATGTGGGGAAGGGATGTTCCAGTGCGAGTTTCTCTGCTGGGGGAGCAGCTTCTCCTGATTCAGTTCCCTTCTCAAGCAACTTGCGACTGGATTTTGGAGAGTGGCCCATGGTTCTATCTGGATAATCTGCTGTATCTCTGCCCTTGGCAGCCCGGGATCGATGTTGCAGATCTGGGTCGCAAGGCGCTCCCGATCTGGGTACGTTTCTCGAACCTCCCTATCGAATATGTGAATTTTAAGGGGCTCAGCAAAACTGCGAGTTGCTTGGGGGTTCCCCTGGGTGTCGATCAGACCACCAGGGTAGGGGGGAGGCTGGGATTTGCGAAAATTCTAGTGGAGCTTCATGTAGATGGGGAATTCCCAGACCGCATCTTGATTTGGTCGTCAGATGATATTTCAATCAGGGTGGGGGTGACCTATAGTCATCTTCCTCCGGTTTGCCAGATATGCAAGAATTTTGGGATGGACTGTGGTTGTACTAGGGGCATAAGGTATGGGTGCAGAAGGTTGATGAGGGGCAGCAACAAGGTGAGGGACAAGAGCTTCTGGCTAGGGTGAAAGTTCAGGATCCTTTGACGCCTGCTGGGGCAGTCCAAAGTAAGGGCAAGGAAGTTTTGGTGGAAGAAGTGATGGGGGATACTAATTTCGATATGCTAATTGGGTCAAATAGGGTGGTAGTGGCAGCTGGTTCTCACTCTCAAGGGGTCAATTTGGAGGCATCCTTTCAGCAGGTGTCTGAATTCCCTTCTCCTAAACTACCATCAGACGTGGAGTTTCAGAAAGTTGTAAATGGTGCTAAACCAAGGTGGTCTCCTATAGGAAGTCCGACTAGTGTACTGTCAACTTCTCAGGCTTTTGCAGCTCTTGAAGGGCTACAAGAAGAGAGAGTGGTTAAGCTTCAGGGTGCCCCAAAGAAAGGTGGGAAGAAATCAGGGCTACTTCAGCCCTCCTCTCCCCCATGATTGTCCTCTTTTGGAATGTTAGAGGGTTCAACAAACCCTCTAAGAGGAAGGACATACTATCTGTCCTTCGCAAGTATAGAGTAGATGTAGTAGCAATTCTTGACACAAGAGTGAGGAAGGTTAAAGCAGAAGAAGCAACAAGTGAATTCTGTAAAGATTGGAAGAAGTATTTGAATTATGTAGATTCTGAGTTGGGGAGAGTATGGTTATTCTGGGATCTGGAAGTAGTTTCAGTTAGCATCTTGCTACCTAAAAAGAACTTTGTGCACGGTCTTGCTCAAATGGTAACCGTGGAGTCCTTGTTCTTTACTGCGGTTTATGCGTCGAATGATGAAGTGGAAAGGAGAGCTACTTATTTGGAGTTGTCTCAAATTAAGGTGAGTGGGTTACCCTGGCTGGTGGGGGGGGGGGGGGATTTCAATGCTGTTTTAAAACCGGGGGAGACTTCAAACCTCAGGGATACTACTAGTTGTATGACAGACTTTGGTAATTGGGTGGCTAATATGGAGTTGTTTGATCATAGAGCAGCAGGGCCTCAATTCACATGGACAAACAAACAAGTGAACAATCCAATTGCAAGGAAGTTAGATAGAGCTTTGGTAAATGAAAGCTGGTTTGATAAGTTCCCTGACTGTAAGGTAGAGCTTATACTAGCTGTTTTCTCGGATCATTGTGGGGTCCTTGTGGCTACAAAGCCAGGGCAAAAAACCCTCCCTAAGCCGTTCAAATTCTTTGACTTCTGGACTGAGGATCCTCAATTTATTCCTCTGATTCAGAAAGCTTGGGAATTGGAAGCTCAGGGGGTCCCTATTTCAGTGGTGAAAGCCAAGTTAAATGAAGCGAAGAGGTTGTTAAAACAGTTTAATAAAGAGGTCTATGGTGATTTAAGTGGTCAAGTGAAGGGAGTGGAAATGAAGTTGAAGGATGCTCAGCTTGTGGCTTTTGATAAGCCTGGAGAGCAAGTTTTCCAAGATGTATCTGTGCTGGAGGCTCGTCTATTTGAGCTTAGAAAAACAGAGGAGAGCATGTATAGGCAGAAGTCCAGAATCAACTGGCTGTCACTGGGAGAGAGATGCACAGGTTTCTTTCACCAAGCTGTTAAGATACGCAATGCAAAAAAGGCAATAAGAAAGTTGATTACCGAAAATGGTGAGGAGTTGTTTGAGAGTGATCAGATTGCTGATGAAGCAGTAAGGTTTTATAAGTGCTTGTTTGATAAGGTGGATCCAAATGTACATCCAAGCAGAGAGAAGTTGGACAGTCTGGTTCTGAAAAGGCTAAGTGAGGAGGAGAAGATATTTTTAAGTGCTGAGTTCACTGCTGATGATGTTAAAAAGGTGGTCATGCACATGGATCCACATAAGGCCCCAGGGCATGATGGGTTCTCAGCTGGCTTTTACAGGAAAACCTGGTCAATAATTGGGGCTGATGTTACGGCTGCCGTCTTGGATTTTTTCCACTTGGAGAGATTTCCATGTAGTGTTAACTTTGCTGCTATTACTTTACTTCCTAAAGTTCCTTCTGCTTGTGCCTTAAGGGATTTTAGGCCAATATCATGCATCAATCTGCTATATAAGATAATTGCTAAGCTACTAGCAAATAGATTGAAAAAGTTTGTCTAGTGTCTACTGTCATTAGTGGGAATCAGTCTGCATTCTCATGGCTCAGGAAATGGTTAGTGGCTATCATAAGAAACAACTCTCTTCACGTTGTGCCATTAAAGTGGACATCATGAAGGCCTTTGATTCGGTGAACTGGGAATATTTATTTCTGATGCTTGATATAATGGGGTTCCCTGCTCCATTTTGAAAATGGATCTCTCTGTGTGTAAAAACTGTTAGGTTCAGCATCTGTGTGAATGGTGGGTTGTGTGGGTATTTTGGTGCAAAAAGGGGAGTGAGGCAAGGGGACCCTCTGTCTCCCTACCTGTTTACCATTGCAATGGAAGGCCTGTCCCTGCTCTTAAATGCTGCTGCCACCTCTGGTCTTATTCCATTTCACCCACAGTGCAAGAAAGTGGGGCTTACCCACTTAAGTTTTGCTGATGATCTGCTAATCTTTTCTGAGGGTTCTACTGGGGCTATTGTTGCTGTTCAGGGTGTACTTAATGAATTCTATGCAATGTCTGGATTGCAATGTAATCCTAGAAAATGTGAGGTGTATTTTGGGGGTTGTTCAGTGGAATTCAAGAAAAATGCATTGGAGAGGTCTGGGTTCCAAGAAGGCACACTCCATGTTCGTTACTTGGGACTACCACTGATCTCAGGTAAGCTTTCCTCAGCAGAGTGTGATCGTTTGGTGGATAGAATAACTCATAAGATTAAAAATTGGAAAGTGAAGAAGCTTAGCTATGCAGGCATATTACAATTGTTGTCCACTGTGGTGATGGGTGTTTTACAGTTTTGGATGCAAGTTTTCCTGCTACCAAAGTGTGTTCTAAAGAGGGTGCACAAAATATATTCTGACTTTATATGGCAAGGGGGAGAAGAAGAAAGAGCAAAAGTTGGTTGGGACAGAATAGCTAGGCCTAGAAAGGAAGGGGGTTTGGGTTAGAAGGAGCTATTTTCTTGGAACCAAGCTTGTACAACAAGGCAGATATGGTTAATTCTTATGCAATGTGGTACTATCTGGGTTGCTTGGATTATGCAGTATAGGGTGAAAGAGGGTAGTATTTGGTCAGTAAGGTCCTCTACAAGTAGTTCGTGGGTTTGGAGGCGAATACTTAAGGTTAGACCTCTAGTCCAGCCTCACTTCTCTAGGCATGGGGCATCTCTCTGCTGGGATGGTACCCTGATGACAAAGTTTACTGTTAAAAAGGTTTGGGAATCTCTAAGGAAGAAATGGCCAGTGGTGGAGTGGGATAAGCTTGTTTGGGGGAAGGGGTATATCCCTGGACCTAGTCTCATTGCTTGGCTGGTCCTGCAGGACAATATTGTTACGAGAGACAAACTCCTCAAATGGGGGAAGTTGATTGATGGATCATGTGTCCTCTGTAATGCAGATATGGAATCAAAGGACCATTTGTTTTTTCAGTGTTCGTTTTCGCAGGAATTGCTTGCACAGCTTCGTTGTACACACTGGAGTAGGGGGGCCTGGCAAGACACTGTCGCTGCTGCCTGTCTGCTTAGATCACAGAGGACAGCAGAAGGGAGGATGCTGGCTTGGCTTTGGTGCATCTGTGTGTCTGGTATTTGGAAAGAGAGGTGCAAGCGGGTTTATGGGACTCCCCCGAGTAGTGCAGCAGTAGTGAGCAATACTGTATTGCAAGATTTAAGATTCCTAAGCACTTTTAATATTGCTGTGACATGTGATTTACATGTTTTAGGCTTTGTATGAGATGTAAAGGGTGGGGACAGTGAGTGTCTTGGTTTCAGGGTGGTTTTGCTTTCTTTCTGAGAATAGGAGAAGATGTTCTCCTGTTCTTGCGTGGGCTTAGCCCACTTTCGTTGTATCTGTTTGGGTTTAATGAGAAGGGACAACTGATTCAACGGAAAAAAAAATGCATTGATGTAGGTGCAATGAAATAAATTTGAGTTGGATTGAATAAAGTTCGAAAAGGCAATAAAAAATAATATGCAATTGATTTTGCAATGGCATTGATGTTGATACTCTAATAAAGACATTCTAACATGGGCACACTCCACGTTGGATGAGTATCTACAGCGCAAAGAGAAGGAAGGGACAACGCTAGGAATTCAAGCTGAAAATCGATGGATGAGGCCGATTGGGATGGATAAATATTAACACTGATGTTGGATTGTACCCAATAGGAGCGGGGCTGGGATTTGTAATTCGAAACCACAATGGCTGGCTTATATTGGCAACATCAAAGAAGGTGAGATATACAAGACAAAGAGCTAGGTGAAGCAATCACAACAAATTTGGCTTGCAGTTGGCTCGTCAACATCAATTGGGAGTACCAGTCTTAGAAATGGACTGCACACAAGAGCATTAGGAGACTCATTGAGCTTGCACCTTGAAGAACGGGTAAGCACGCAAGTCGGGATGCTAATACTGCAACACACATTATGGCCCATATGGAGACTAGATGGAATGAGGCGGATGTTTGGTTTGATCACCTTCCAATTTTCTTAATTGATCAGATGAAACTTAATGATTTAACAATGTCGATTAATCAATAAATTGAGAGTAGATTTCTATAAAAAAAAATTAATAAAGGTCATATTTTGATGTTTCTTACCAGATTTTACTATTATATTTTACAAACGATATATAACATTACATAACAGCCATGAAACCAAAAATAAAAAGAATAAAGATACATTAACAACCCTATAGTCTAGGGGTGGTATTCGGGTACCCGGTTAACGGCTTAATCAGTTACCGAACCAGTATTTGATGATAACCGGTTACACCATTAACCGAGGGTATCAGTAATCGGTGGAGGAAAAGGCACATTCGTTAAACAGACCTGTACGCGGCAAGTAGCCGGCGGTTAGCTGGTCAACCGAAACCCCCACCAAATACGATGGCGTATAAGGCTTAGTTCTCATCCTTCTCCCCCGCTTACCTCACGAACTCACTCCTACCTCTCCATCCTCGTTCCTTTCCAACCCCCATTCTTTACAAACTATGTCCCTAACGAAAGAGGTTGAGCCGCCGAGACAGTGGACAACCGCCAGGCACCAGTCCACCACTCACCGGAGAAAGACGCCGCCAATGGCCGCTGGTCGAAGACCGAGTTGCTCCGATTTGGGAGAAAGCGACGAGCAGACGAGGTTTCAGTAGTCCTTGTCCGATTCAAGAGATTCTTCATCATCTTCAACCTAGGCCACTAAATGGCCACATCTAGCGCAATACGCTTCTTCGATTTTGGCCACTGCATGTCCAAATCAGGTGCCATCTGCTTCTTCGATTTCGACCACTGAATGTCCAGATCTGGTCCCATATGTCGCCTTCCAGCTCCCCGCCGTCGTCTCCTAGGTCGGCCAGCTCCTCTCCGTCGCCGCCTCGGCGGCCAACTCCTCTCCGTCGCCGCCTCGGTCGGCTACGGCCTCCCTCTGCGGCCCAGCGACCGAAGTCCATGTGATGCTTATTGTTATAAGTTCATAACAAGATGGATGTAAGTGATTTGTTGAAGTATTTAGGTGAAAATGATGAATTTATTGCGCCACAAACGTTAGAAGAAATTGTGGCTGATGTCATTGGAGGTTCAATTGAGGATGGAAGATATGACGATTCAACACCTTTGGAACTGCTCACGCGAAAGGAAGCACTTAAAAGCCGCATCGACTCTTAAAAAATACTTGATGCAATTAAAGAAGACAACGCTGGAGTCTTTGAGTGCAATGAGGAAAGTTCAAGATGAACTCCAATTAGACTTGAATTTCAAGAATAAACAAATAACTATATATTCATTTTTTTAGATTATCCTAAAACTATATTATAAATTTCTAGATGAATTGTATTTTTATAAATTTTAATTTATAGAGTTAAAATACATGTATTTATGTAGGTTGGTTCTAAAAAATTATTATCTTATTATTTATTAAATTTGCTCATTTTTTACACTGGCCCAAGTCGGGACCGAAAAAATTATTAATTTATACTGGGTTATTAATTTATCATTATTAATTTAAAGAAGTTATATTGTAATCATGTTGTTTATGGATGTTATCTTTAATGTTTAAAATTTTGGATGGATAATTTGCAGTTTGCTTGTATGTTCTTAATTAGTGTTTTTCTGTGGATAATTTGTATGGGTAGATTGATGTTAGAATTTTATTTTGATAGGAACTTGTTAATATGCATTTCTTACCACGGATACCCAACGGGTTGGGTTTTACCCCTTTTTTTTACAGATATACCCATGGATTTGGGTTTGACAAAATCCAACCCAACCTGACCCATTGCCATCCCTAGTTAGAATGCTCGATTCGGCTCTTTTATGGCTACGGATAGGGTGAATAACCTTATGGTGCATAATCTTGCATAACTAAATCTGAGCACTTTATTTTAAATGGACTTCAGATCTAAGAGTTGAGCAATTGATGACTTTTTATTTTCCCTAGTTTTCTTACTCTGCTTTTATCTTATTCGTTCTAACTTGGATTTCAATTTTTTGCACGGATGGAACGAGTTTGTTGTGCTCTACAAAATGAGATTCGTTTTCAATATATTTTGAGAATATTTTTTTATGTCACTCATACAACTCGTTATCACCTCCATACCACATGGTATCTCCTTTGTTTGTAAGTCAATTTTTGAAAAATTTTGCACTGAAGGAACGAATTCATTATGATCTGTCGGATATACAAATTTTCGGGAGGAAAAATACATAACCAAAAAATATAACACATATCACCCTGATATAGGGGTAGTATCTTGTGGTACAGAATATTGAAAGTTGTAAATGACAATTAGTATATCTCTACTATTATGTATTCAACTATTTTGCAGTCTGGTATGTTCATGCCACCGTGATACACTTCCATACCACGTGGCATACTCTTCTGTTATTCCAAATAATACTACCATGATATAGAAGAGTACTAAATGCCTCAAAAAAATTTATTCCAAAAATGTATCAAAGTGAATATCATTTTGAAGAACACAATTTATATGATTTATTTGCGAAAAAATTAAATTCCAACTTAAAATAAAATAAATATAGCTTGTTAAAATTTAGAGAAGAAAAGATTAAAGTTTTCAATAAATAATGATGTGGTGGTAATGTAACAATTTATCATTACAAAGTTATGCACCAGAATTGCTCATGCTCGTTTAGGCTAGAAGCCTCAACTTTGTGGTTTTCAAAACATTAATAACCCTTCCTAACCTGAAACAAGGGAATTAAAGAAAACAAAGGGGTCGTTTGTTTCATGGATTTAAAAATAAGGGTTTTGTAATTTAAAAACCCAAGAATTTTAGACATTATGAATTTGTAACAATACTTTGTTTGTTGAGATGTTTTATCATGGATTTAAGGGTTTGAGATTTAGAACTTAAAGTCCAAAATTACCATACTATCATTTTCTATTTGAATGTCTCCTAATGAAAATTCTAAAAATGATTTTGCAATTAGAAGCATCAATCATACACATATCTGGGTGGGTAAATGCCATATTTGGTCACTAACATTACTATATCGTGTCATGTTTAGTCACTCAAAAAATTTAATATCAATTTTGGTCACTCGAATTGCTGAAACAAGTCACATTTAGTCACTCTCCTGTTAGCCTCCGTCCAACTCCGGTCACTCGAATTACTGAAACATGTCACATTTAATCACTCGAATTACTGAAATAGGTCACATTTAGTCACTCTCCCGTTAGAATCCGTCCAACTTCGTTAATGAAGTTGGACGGAAACTAACGGGAGAGTGACTAAATGTGACCTGTTTCAGTAATTCGAGTGACCAAAATTGATATTAAATTTTCTAGTGACTAAACATGACACAATTTAGTAATTTCAGCGACAAAATGTGGCATTTACCCCATATCTGGGTAGTTGAGTTGAAAATTGCTTGCACCAGAGGTTTCAGTTAGACTTATACTTGTTTGGTACATATGTTCTTGTATGCTGGACAGAACAACAAGGAAGTAGAAGCTGAAGAAACTGAGAATGAAGGAGATGAGAACAATCTGGCATTAAGAGGAGAAATTTTACAATGCTATATAGTATTGGTGCTATAGGTTTTTGCCTTTATGGTACAACTTAAAATTGTACATTTACGTTATGGTACAACTTCAGATTGTACCTATACTTTTTGTGCAAATTCTTTTACGGTACAACTTGAACTTGTACCTTTATGTGATGGTACAACTTCAAGTTGTAAAGTTGTACCATAACATAATGGTACAAATTGCTTTATGGTACAACCTAAACTTATACATTTAATGTTATGGTACAACTTTGAGTTGTACATTAAAGCACCAATGCTATATAGCATAGTAGAAGTGCTCCATTAAGAGAGCCGCCAGAACTACGAGTGTATGCTGATATGAAGGCTTGCAGATGTTTGAGTCGAGGTTTGAGTAGTGAACTTGTAATCTTTTGGATGTTTCAATAATGAAGTACTGAACTAGTTCTAAAAAAAAGTACTGAACTAGTACTCTTTTGGATGTAAACTAGCAGCTGTGAATGCTTGCGGATGTTTTAACTAGGGGTGTTCAAACGGTTTGGTTACCGTGGTAACCGTTTTAACCGGTACTATTTGGATAATTTGGTTTTGTTAATTTGGATAATTGGTTTGGTTTGGTTAAAGTTTTTAGCTTGTTTGATTTAGGTGGTTTGGTTTGGTTTCAAACACTCCTAACCAGTCAAACCAAATTAACCAGTTAAGTAATTAGTCATATATCTAACATATATTATATACACATAATACTTTGCATAACCACTCAAGAGTTAACGCTCATCCCTTTTAGACTCATAATATATAAAGCTCAATTTTGCTCATATAGTGTATATTTGTATATGTAAAGTCTAGACCACAACATATGGACGCCTAATTTAGATAAATTTCATACATTATGATGAATGAAAACTTGAAAGGAAGGTCATTTCCAGCCTATGATAATTGCTAAGAGACTAAGTCAATTTACACAAACACAACAATTCATTAACCCATACCATTGTCATAATTCTTTGTTAGGTGAATACTTCTATACTAATCGTAAGATAATTGTCTTAGTTGCATGTATTTTTGTTAAGGGTCAACTATAACTACGTGTTGATTGTTATGTTTTATTCATTATATAAATTGCGAATTGTTGCATTAACTGAAAAATTTTCATCGTCAATGATAATGTGATTTTATATTGGTTAATCTGGTTAACCAATTAACCAAACCGATTAAACTTTAGTTTGGTTAATTTGGTTGTTGTATTAGTTTGGATGGTTTGGTTATGATATTGTATTCCATGGTTAACGGAATTTAGCCTTATATGGGTTGGTTATAACCATGGTAACCATTTGAACACCCCTAGTTTTAACCAGTACTCTTTTGGACATGAACTAGCAGCTATGAAAGCTTGCTGTGAAGTAGTCCTCTTTATGAATGTTTAAGATTGGATGCTTGAGTACTCTTCTTTATGAATGAAAGCAAGTCCTCTTTTGGATGTTTGAGCACTCTATGAATGAAAGCTGGTACATTTTTGGAAAGAATTCGTATAGTGACAAATGTGTTTTCTCACCTAATAAATATAATATAATATGACAAATCAAGTGAAGATTTTGTGTCACAATATACTATTTTGTCACAATAGCAGCTCCAAAATCGCATATTCTGTGAGTGCTCATGTTGCAACACATTTGTCACTTAAAATATTCATTGTGACGCCGAATATTTGTCACTGGAACAACTCAGTTGTTGTGACAAACTGTACTTACGTTTGTCACAATACCTCTATTACAACGAGGTTCTAGTAACAAATATTTTTTTGTCACGATGTTTGTCATAACAGATTTCAGGTGACGAAATCGTAACCTGTAATGACAAATTCTCTTGTCACCGTAGAGCACTCGGAGAAGATGGAATTGTTGAAGAATTGGAAAATAGTGATGTTAGACGTTGTGATGTTACAAGAAGAGTTGCCTTGCTCTTTTTTACTTGTGGGACGGGTTAGCATGCTAACCCCTTAAGGGGTTGGAAAAATGACACCCCCTTTAATTGGTCAATTTTTCATTAATTATTGACAAGTATTAATGAAAGTAAACATAATAAATGTTCTGTTATTAAATACAAAGTAAGCATTAAATACACCACATTAATTACCACTTTACTGGTATTTGTATCACTGCACTGATACTCAGATATGACATTGCTACCAGTGCACTGATATCGCTACCAGTGCAGTGGTATATCTACCAGTACAGTGGTACAACGTATCAGTGCAGTGGTATATCTACCAGTACAGTGGTACAACGTATCAGTGCAGTGGTATATCTACAAGTACAGTGGTACACCGTATCAGTGCAGTGGTATATTTTTTGGAGGTGGTCGGAGGGAGTCTGCCGATGGGATTTTCACCGGAGAAGTGTGGCGGTCGGAGGAAGTCTGGTGGTCGGAGACTGCTGAAAAAGGAAAAATCAAATATAGTGAGAGAATTCATAATGTGTATTTAATGTGTGTATTTAATTCCTAATGTGTATTTAATAGTGAGAGAATTCCTAATTAATATGGTACATTTAATTCCTAATGTGTATTTAATGTGTGTATTAATTATTATGTATTAATTATAATTGTATTTAATATACTAGGGAGTGTCATTTTTCCAACCCCTAAGGGGGGTTAGCATGCTAACCGACCCATTTACTTGTGCTTTTGTATTTGATCAAAGTATGGCTCCATTAATTTTAGAGTTACCTATTCTTTTCCAAATGATGTTACCATTGTCGGAAAGGATGAATTCCATTGCCGTTGAATGATTTTGTGAATGTAGAGGGAAAGGAATGGAAGGAGAGTAATAGATTGTTAATGAAGATTATTATGGTATTTGCTTTTTTTATGTTACCAAATACCTTATGAAAATAACTAATTGATTTTTTCATCCAAACAAGATAATTTAACTCCCATTTCCTCCAAATAACATGCAAATACCACATGTACAAAAAGTGAGTTATTTGACCTTATAAATACCAAATTGAAGATTAACTCATCCAAACAACCCCTATATATTATATATTATTGTAATTATTCGGGTCAATCGGTCGAGTTCGGGTTAGTCGGGTTGCGGGTTGATTGGGTTGCAGGCCAATCGGGTTACAGGTCGGACGGGTTATGGGTTATTGACTTTTAGTCAACTAGGGTTGGAGGTCGGGTTAAACGGGCGGGTTACTCGGGTCGGGTTCTGTTTCGAACCCTATAATAAGCATAATGTTTCCACAATGACAATAATAATAAACGAAAAAATTTCATTTCACTTTTAACGTAACATATATTAGAACCGGGGGGAAAAAGAATTACATGTTTCATGAAAAAGTCAAGGAAACTAGAATAAAACAAATGGTATAAAAAATCTAACTCATATTTACACATTAATTGACTATTTATATTATTTCTTTGTTGTTGATTAATTGATTATTTATAATGTACAATAGGTAAACGTGAAGACAACCTTGGAATTTTAAAAGTTCGTGGGCGTATATAGATAAAATTTCATCATGAATTTATGACTCATGAGGACCACGAATTTGGACTCTTATAATCTCTGCACCCCCCAAATTTGTCTCTAAATAAAATGCAAGCAAACAACGGATTTTCCTTAAATCCATAATGAAATCGATTTGAATACCAAATCCATCATCCAAATTGGCAAACAACCCAAAAACTCCGTTATTGTTTGGAGTTTGTCTTCAGGGTCTCAAGATTACATTTGAAGCGTTCACTCCTGCCTTCTCGCCGTCTCTTTCCATATGCATGTGGAAGGAAACTTCAAGTTTGATCTCTGAAGCAATCTCCTTAGAGTTTAGGGCAGTGCCTCGAATTGCTATCAGGGTTGCCCATAGAGTGGCGCAAAAAGCCCTGCTTCTTTCTCCTCTTGAGTTATGTTCTTTCGACTTTGTTGGGTGGCTTCATTGATGTAATAGGTTGGGAGGTGTTCTGATAGTTTGTATAGTTCTCTCTTTTGACGACGGAAAAAAAAAAATCTGACACTGTGAGAGAGAGAGATTCTGGATTTCTGGTCAACGGTCAATACTCTTAACCCTCTGAAATTCAGGAAAAAATCCCAAGTTACACATGTTTTTAAAAAAAATTCTCAAAATACACATGTTATGAAAAAAATTCCCAATCTACACATGTTTGGGCCTTCACCGCGTCAGAGAAGAGCGGTGATTGCTTCACCGCGTGAAAGAAAAACGGTGATTGCTTCACCGTGGGAGAGAAAAACGGTGATTGCTTCACCGCGTGAGAGCAAAACGGTGAAGCACTGACCTGCGTCCAAACTTTAAAACAACGTAACTTTGTGCTCGGTTATCCGATCGTAGCGAATTTTTTTTTGATTCCGCATAATTTTTCGAGATCTTGCAAGCTTAAAATTGCCATAGGCGGTTTGGTCCCGCCTTCGTCTCGAAAAAATGTCGTTTGCTACCCCGAACGACCCTTTTTTCGATTTCGTCAAACTTTGAACGACCATAACTTTGTGCTCCACAATCCAAAAATCATGAATTTTTTTTTGATTCCGCATAACTTTTTAAGGACTACAATTTTTATCATAGACATAATTTCGGAATGCACTTGGATTCATGAAAAGGGAAGGTAAAGTTATTCCCAAAACCCCTTATATCCATAAATAATTCATTTTTTGAAAATTCTCTCCTACTAAAAATTGTAGTCCTTAAAAAGTTATGCGGAATCAAAAAAAAATTCATGATTTTTGGATTGTGGAGCACAAAGTTATGGTCGTTCAAAGTTTGACGAAATCGAAAAAAGGGTCGTTCGGGGTAGCAAACGACATTTTTTCGAGACGAAGGCGGGACCAAACCGCCTCCGGCGTTTGCGGCTTGCAAGATCTCGAAAAATTATGCGGAATCAAAAAAAAATTCGCTACGATCGGATAACCGAGCACAAAGTTACGTTGTTTTAAAGTTTGGACGCAGGTCAGTGCTTCACCGTTTTGCTCTCACGCGGTGAAGCAATCACCGTTTTTCTCTCCCACGGTGAAGCACTCACCGTTTTTCTCTCACGCGGTGAAGCAATCACCGCCCTTCTCTGACGCGGTGAAGGCCCAAACATGTGTAGATTGGGAATTTTTTTCATAACATGTGTATTTTGAGAATTTTTTTTAAAAACATGTGTAACTTGGGATTTTTTCCCTGAAATTCATATGTTTGAAGTTGGAAGTTGGAACCCCCTTAAGTCCATCCAAGCAAGCCAGTTAAACCCTGCACTTCATTCCGTCTACCATTACCAGTCCTCTCTTTGGCACCCCATAATGGAGAATGCAAGCGAAATGCCGCTTACCCAGATGAGGAAATCTGTCGAGAAGCTTGGCTCGTCCACTGAGGTTACCTTTCTTCTAGTTCACTGCATCAACTTCTTCTTGGGTCTCTCTGTTTTCCCCCCCTGCCTTTGACCAGCTAATTTATAGATACGGAGTTCACTTTTGGGCATGTTGTGTAAAGCGAGCCGTCACTTTTGTTGATCCTCTTTCTACTGATGTGCAGAAATATGGAGACCCGACATTGATGAGGTTCCTGATTGCGAGGTCAATGGACACAGGCAAGGCTGCAAAGATGTTTGTTCAGTGGCAGAAATGGAGGGCGTCGTTTGTTCCAAATGGGCTCATCTCAGATTCTGAAGTCCCTGATGAATTGGTAGCTAAGAAGATATACTTGCAAGGTTTGTCAAGAGAGGGATACCCATTGTTGATTGTCAAAGCAAGCATGCATTACCCATCTAAAGATCAGCCTCAATTCAAGAGTGAGTGACCTTCACTGCACTCATTTCTCCTCCTTGGTACAATTGACGATTTCATGATTCAAGTTTATGTCCTTTTCATCATAAATCTGACTCCAAGTTCTTATTTTGATTTCAGTTTCCTATGCTTTTTAGTGTGTAAATTTGAAGTTTTGTTACTGCGAATTCAATTGGATCACCTTGAGTTGGATCCAAGTATTATCAGGGATCTTAGGGATGGTGGATTGGATGGAACAGCATATGAACATAATTTGTGATAAACGTCTGACGCTCCCAAGTTATCTTGTTTGACTAAATCTTTTTCTTTGATTAGGAAGGGATACGATTCCCCGGATAAATTATAGTTTAGCACCATTTCCCTGTTGACTTGGGAGCTTTATGGCGTCCGAATTTTCTTTTCCAGGTTTCAGATCTGAGTTACATGAGAAGATTCCCTCAGATTTGGTCTGCTTTGTTTGTCCTGACAACCTTTGTGTGTGGTCAACTATGGTACCTGAGGAAATCAGTTTGGCTTGTGAGACTATCTCTGATGAATGTTCTTCATGTTCATGCTTGACAGCTCTGCAGTACTCTTTTAGCATTGCTTCATATTGGTTTCAGTTCTTTGTATTAGAAGTGGTGGTCTGGAGTCTGGACAACCATCATGATATCTGAAACAGTCTCAAAAGTCTTTTCACTTGGCTTAAACATTAGCAAAGCTACCCTCAGCATTGTTGTCTGGCACTAGGTAGTTGAGTTTGGTTATTAAAAACTATGGGAGGTTGGTTTTCAAACATAGGGTGCCGTGAAAAAAAAGGATCTTACCTTCTTCCTAAAGGAAACTATTGAATTGCATTTGCTGAAATAGATCACTATCCCAGGTTCTAGTTCGACTTCAAATGATCGGTTACCTGATTATATCTTCCTCGTTTGATGCAGAGTTCGTTGTTCATCTGCTGGACAAAACTATAGCCAGGTACTTCTTACTTAATTTAGACGTTGGATTACCTGAAATAACATTCCTGTATGAGTAGATAATTAGGACTGCTATGGTGCTCTACAGCTTACTGTTAGAAACTTAGAATGTTCACTTCTGAATGATCTTTCCATCTCATGTTGCAGTGTGTTGGCTGCTCCTCTTTCTGTTTAACACTATTGCTTAAGACACGTAAACAAAGTTTCGAGCATTTTGTAACGAACTCTCTGTCATCCTTTCTTCAGCACAATCAAGGGAAGAGAAGTCGGAAACGAGAAGTTGATGATCATCTTGGACTTGCAGCAAATTGGATATAAAAATGTGGATGCTCGTGGGTTTATCACTGGCTTCCAGTTTTTGCAGGTAAGGTTCTAGCAGCCTATCTCATTAGCCTAAACCAAAATGCCTACATGCGCCAGTCCCTTAGGCTCAGAGAGGCATGTGAGAACTTTTTATTTAATGCCTTGATGTTTTTGCGCAGGCTTACTACCCAGAGCGCTTGCACAAGCTGTACATCTTAAACATGCCGCGATTCTTTGCGAGCGTATGGAGGATAGTGTCGCGATGCCTCGAGAAGGCTACATTAGAGAAGGTAATTTGAGGAGTTCAGATTTTCATGAATCCTATTGTGAAACTAACACCGTTACCAATACCATAACCATACTCTGCAACTAGTTACCATGACACAGCTGTTCCAAGATCCTATGTGTTTCTGAGGATATCTGCTGAACGAATGGATGATTAATGCAGATAATGATAGTTACCAATGACAAAGAGATGGAAGTACTTGTGAGGGAAGTCGGGGAAGAGACATTGCCAGAAGAGTACGGAGGCCGGGCTGAGCTTGTGGCTATTCAGGATGTCACATTGGCGTTTCCTCGATTGGAAGGATGATATTTTCCCGTGATTAATTTGACAGATTGCAATGGAAGCTTAGCTTTGGCGCATCTTGAAGCCCCAGATTGGATATGCAGCGTTGTCGAATTAACTTGCTTCACAAGACATGGTTAGTACCTACTGCACGTTCAATAATGGAAGGCATGGCTAGTTCCAAACTGATCAACACACTGTGGACTGTGACTATGTTAATCTAATTATATGAGTAGGAAGTATAGATGGATTGTCTGTCATATTCTTCTTCTCCTTGCTGGAACTTGCATGAATGTTAGAAGAAGAAAACTTCCTTAATCCTATTTCTTGTTTTCAACTGCATTTTTGGCTTAACCATGCTTAGGACGAAGAACAAGTTGGTATGCTTACCTGGTCTGAATTCGCTTAGTTCGGTGTTTTAGGTGCAAGAACGAGGTCATCGGTGTCTATATTCATGCAAACCTCTCATTTTGTGTTATAGTTGAAATCATCGAACGAGGGGATAACAATACGATAAGCATCGAATTCTTATAATTTTAGGAGCCTGTTATGAATAATTTGGTATTATGTTGGATGAGTTGCATTTAGGATATGTCGATGTCGTAACGTGACATTTGAGATCTCCATATGATTTTGTAGGTTGATCAGAGATTATATAACTCATTTCGACATGAACGGTTGGATGTATACATTGGCCGAGTGCTAGAATTTTTCTGAATATATATGTCGTGTATACTTATTATATATTTATATGCATTGTATATTGATTAATAATGTACTAAAATATATATAGTTAATTAATTATAACTGGAATGGAAGGAGATATGAACTTATAACTGGTTTTGTATATAAAGGACTTGAGCTGTAGGGTTTAAACTTTTAAAGTTTTAAACAGAAAATCTAAGCAACACAAATTATCTCGGTTAGCCGCCGCTGTTAGGGAGACCTATGAGCCGGAAGCGGCGATCACGAATAGCCGCCGCCGCGGCCGGCGACATTGCGGAAGACCGAATCTCAGAACTCCCGGAGGAAATCATCCACAACATCCTTCATCGCGTAAAGCCCTCGAGCGAAGCGGCAAAAACGAGCCTTTTGTCAAGGAGATGGCTCCAACTCTGGCGCTTTTACCCTGTCGTCGAGTTCCGGGATCGGGATTTCAATTGGGATTTTGATGAAATTAGAATTAGGTTCGAAAGCTTCGCCGCTGCTGCTTACAGGAGGCTGCTGCAGCCTCATAACCATGGGAAAACAGCAGCAGCACCACCACCAATCGCTCTGGACGCCTTCAGGATTTCGTTACAGTGCCCGCGTCTAAACGAGGAGCTGCTGGACAAGTTGCTGGCTCCCGCGTCGCTGTTGCCCGCCGCCGACGACGATGGCAGCAGATCGCCGCTCGAGATTGTGGTTCATACAATTCCCACGATGTATGTCATTCCCTTTTCCTCACCTTATAGTTTTCCCGATGGAACATTTTTGAACTGCCGCCGCACCAGATCTCTGAGCCTGAGTGGTTGTGACCTGAGGAGCCAATATCGCAGCAATTGGAGTAGTAACAATATTTGTCTGGAGGATCTCTGTCTCAATAGCACTCGGATTAGCGAGCAGATGTTGCAGAGCTTCCTGGGGAATGCGCCTAATCTCGAGAAGCTGAGTTTGAGCTGGATTCAAGGGGTTGAGAGCCTGGACCTCTCTCACCCTAACCTGAAGACCATTTTCATCGGCGGAAATTTTGGCTCTGTTCTGCAAATCCAGCTTACTTCAGCTCCTCTGCTGCACACACTCCGCTTCGAGAGCACATTGGATTGCAAGCTGAACGTGGCGTCGAAATTTTCAATCCCGAATCTCAAATTCATCCACATTAGAAACGACCCCTGGACGGGATCGAAATGGCTCGGCGATCTCGAGGACTTGATTTCCAAGTCCCCATCTCTGGAGTCTCTCGACTTTCACAATGTCAGAAACACAGATGAAAGGAAGCCGCTGCCGTGGCTGAGGATTGACAGCCCGAGCTCGGCTTCCAAGCTCCGGACATTAAGACTGAGCTTTTCGAAAACGGAGAGGCCATTGGAGATCGATGCTCCTAATCTGGTTAGTCTCTGCATCGCCACCGACTCTGCCATCAACGTTGAGGCTGTCAAAGTGGCTTCCGACTGCAAATGTGTAATTGACTGGCATATCAGCCGTGAAAACAAGTTGACTACGGGATGGTTTGTTGAGTTGAGGCGGTTTCTTGCAGCACTGACCCGTTCATTCCGCCACCAACCGGTTTTGAAGCTGCACTTCCCATCATACTGCTACAATCCAGAGGTATGTTAGTATATGTTTGTAGACATACATGCACACCCAAGGGCGTAGCCAGGATTTTGTCGAGGGTGGGTCCATTTAGAAAAAATACATACGATAAAATAATTTTGTTAGCTTTCTAAATCGTTCATGATATAATTTTGTATTTGCAAAAACTTGGTAAATTAAATTATATGTCAAAACTATCAAGAATATCACCATATATGTATCAAACAGTTATTTATGATTTAGTTAGACATTTGCTTTTGAATCGTGTTCTTCGTCAAGACCGTTTAGTATCATTAACTCGAGTTGTTAGGAAAGATTTAATAATGAATCTAATACTATTTAGTATTTACTAACACTTTCCTGCTTACTACAACCAACTTATGCGTGCTTAAAGTTTACGTAAATCCGAATATCATGTGTTTAACAAATGAGGTTACAAAGATTCGAACAAATGATATCTCGGTCAACCATTCTCAATTAGAAGTGCCCTAAATGTCATTCTCAATTAACTATTATACTAATTTACTCATTTTCGTCCTTAGGAAACACCTGTTACAGTCTCCCTACCCCTGATTGAAATAAAATTATTTTTACAAATGAATTATGATTTGGTGGAAATTTGTTGTAAATATTGAATACATACATCTTCAATTTTGGGCGAATCATATACATCATTATCATTTATACATAGCTCGCTATAAATACATTGAATATGTCAACACTCGTTATAAATCATACATCAAATATTTCAAAGGTCTACCGATTTCATTTAAATACGTATTATTTTTCATACTCGATTAACTATTGTACCTAATAGACCATTTTCTAACCCGAGTCAGGGTGGGTCCCGGGACCCACCCTCTAACTCTCTCCCTCCGCACACCAACTTCCCAATCAATCATCGTTACAAAATATATTGTGCTATCTGCACATCAACATTGCATATATTTGTTTTATTTTCACCCCCTTCCACTGAGATTGATATTCACTTTTTTATAATCAAAACTGAAGGTATCTTTCTCTTTGAGTGAAGTCAAAAGTGTATCCTCTCCTATACCGGAGGTGCAAAACTTACAATTCGGAAGCTCTTTCTCGTCTCCGCTGTCCAACATGAGACATGCAAAAGCTATCATTTTCCTTGAAGCTCTTCTTTGGACTTGTCATCCCAACACAATATCTGTAGCCGAACAGTCTGATCCTCGGGACTCACAAAGATCCTTGACCAAATTTCAGGTTCGTCCCAAACTGATCACCCTTTGTATATATGTATATAACTTCATGTTGGTCTTTGGCATTGACTAATTACTTGTGTTTTTGTCCTGGCATGTATTCAACAGCGTATTTGGAAGCAGGTTGCAAACAAGAACCTTGAAAGTTCAAGTTGTGGTGGAGATGTTCAGCATTGGCAAGATGGACTGAAGGATGTGAATATAATGAGTGACACCATCGATGCGGATTCAGCTCTTACACGGAATTATATTTGTTTTACATTGACCTAGCTAGTGTGACTGTGAGTAAATTATTTAAATGTACCTACGATAAATTTTTAGTGATTCCATGCTTTCTCTACATGTTCATGGCTTAATTCCAAATTTGGTCACTCGAATTGCTATAAAATTTCATGTTTGCCATTCGAATTAATTTATTCCATTTATAGTCACTCGAATTAGTTAAACAGTCTAAGTTCTGTCACCCTCCGTTAACTTCCGTTAGACTCCGTTAATGACGACCGTTAAGTGATGACGTGGCTAACAGAAAATCACAGCATAATTTAACACTAAGAAATAACGACCCGACCTGCCACGTCATATTTACCCGCCATGTCAGTCCTTCTTGCCCAACCCGCGAACCAACCCAATTAATTGACCCAAACCCGAGACACAACCCCCCCTTGAAAAATAAATCAAAACGGAAAGGGTAGGAGCGTCAGACGTTTACTGCAACTCCGACGACGCTTTCCTCTGCTTCCATTGCGACGCCAGAGTTCAGAACGCCAACTTCCTCATCTCCCACCACCTTCGCCTCATGCTCTGCCGGAACTGCCGCTGCCTCACCCAGAACTCCGTTTTCGGACCCAGATCCCTGGCGTTGATTCTTCCTTTCCCTTCCTCCCAATCTTCCCCCTCAAGCTGTTTTTGAATTCGATTCCCTAAACTCAAGTGGTCACATTATCATACCGCTAATGTAGTAATTCCCGAGTGAGTGAGTAATTCTTTTCTCCCTTCCTCTTCTCCAAATGGCTTAGCCTCGCCATTCCCCAATCTCTCTGCTCTTACCTCTCCTTCTACTCATCACCACTGCATCCTCCACCCAACCCCAACAGCCCTCCCACCGCCACCACACCAACAACAACAACTACTTCCAGCGAATCCTCATCAGCTTCTCCCTCGGCATCGCCACCGGCCTAGCCGCCGCGTTTCTCCTCACATCCCTACTCCGCTTACTCTTCTGCTACATCAACCGCACCCCAATCCTCAAAGGCCCCGTGGTCTTCTCCCCCAAAATCCAACCCAAATCACTCCTTTCCTCCCTCCACCAAGAGCTCCCGCTTCTGGGTTCCAACTCCAACGGAAACTACCACAAACTCCTCCTCGAAGAAACCCTCCCCATCGCCCTCAAACGCCTAAACCCCTTCGACATCGGCGGCAAGTGATACTAGATCTCAGCCACAACTCCTTCTCCGGCGAAATTCCGACCTCCCTCGGAAACCTAATTAAGCTGGAGAGGCTGAATTTGTCGTGCAACCATCTCCAGGGGAAGATACCCAGCTCGCTCGCCAAGCTCACCAGCCTCCACAGGCTGGACCTGTAGAACAACGACCTTCGAGGGCGAATTCCCGAGACGTTCTCCAGAGGGGTTGTGTGGTCAGCCGTTGGAGGTGTGCTTGTCAAGAGGGAAGAAGGGGATGTCGAATGCTGCAGTGGTGGGGATAATCGCGGTGATTGTTTTCTCGTCGACGATGATTTATTTTTAGGGGGGTTGGGTCTCGTGGATATATACAACCAACGGTATTATCTCTAGCAAGGACCGTTGGATCCAATCGACTTGTACGACCAACCCAACCATCGGTCAAAGAATGTTTGGAACGATCACCCGGTACATACAATTCTTCATCATTTGTCTTTCTTTTATTTTGCTAATGTATTTGGTGGTATATAAAATAAATTTATGTTCAATTTTTAATCGTGTTGGTTGTTTTCAATAATTTAATCGAATACATAGCGCTACTTACTTCGACTCTTTATAAAGAGATGCACGTCTAAGGAAATGGGGTTTTAAGCGATTATCATATCCTCCCATTCCCTGGGAAAATCGGGTATTAAGAGATCCTCGGATCCCCCCTTTTTCTGTCAAAAAGACTGCGTTTCTAAGAAGATGTATACCTCTTCTAAGAGTCTAACGAGTGTTGCTCTACATTCGATTAGATTATTTAAAACAACCAATACGATTAAATTATTTACCAAACAACCAATACGATTTATTTTTATGTGTACAAAATGAATTTTATTAATTTCAAATATTTGAATTTGTACGTTTCTCTTTAAATTATTATTCATTTACAATGTTATTTATGTTAATTAATTTAGTATGTTTGTTTTACGATAATATGTATGTATCTCTTTAAATTACTATTGATTTAGCCGTGGCCTCCTACTCCTCACCGTATGAGCGTGTATGTCCCCTGCTCGACCCCGGAAGCGCCGCCTCCCCGCCGACACAGCACCGACGAGCGCCACACTACCTTGTCCATTCGAAACTTGGCACTGCAACCACCTGTTGTTACTCCCGTTGGCCGTCGTACAAGGAGCAAGAAAACCATCGGTTCCGGTGAAGCTCGTGGACTTCCTTGAGATGTATTTTGAGTTGAATTTTAATTATATGTACTTGGAACTATTCCCCTTATCTTTAGTTTATTTAATTGAGTGTTGTTTCAATTTGTTTTTATTTCTATGTACTTGGAACTATTCCTCTTATCTTGATATTATCCCAATTCGTTTAACTTGTAATTGGCTTGTCCATTTTTTTTCGTACTAACTTGATATTATCCCACGTCTTTTATTTTGCATGGCATGTCGGAAAATAATTGACCAAAACCGCACCTTGGGGGGCGGTTTGTATGGCAAAACGGCACCTTGGGGTGCGGTTTGTATGGCAAAACCGCACCTTGTGGATGCAGTTTTGTTTTGGAGAAACAAACCGCATCTCCAAGGTGCGGTTTTGCTAGGTCAGGCCAAAACCACACCTCGGCCATGCGATTTCTGTAGGTCAGACCTGAAACCGCATGGTTAAGATGCAGTTTTGGACCAGGATTATGGACCGCACCTTAGAGGTGCGGTTTATATATAAAACACACCTCTAAAGTGCGGTCCACAAAAAAGGTGCTATTTTTGTAAATATATTCGGCTGTGTGCTATTTTTTATAATTTTTATTTTAAAAAGTGCTATTTCTGGAAAAATCCCGATTAGAATTAGGTTCGAAAGTTTCGCCGTTGCCGCTTACAGGAGGCTACTGCAGCCTCATAACCATGGGAAAACAGCAGCAGCACCACCAATCGCTCTGGACGCGTTCATGATTTCGTTAAAGTACCCGCGTCAAAACGAGGAGCTGCTGGACAAGTTGCTGGCGCGTCGCTGTTGCCTGTCGATGACGGCAGCAGATCGCCGCTCGAGATTGTGGTTCATACGATTCCCACGATTTGTGTCGTTTCGCTTTCCTCTCCTTACAGTTTTCCCGATGGAACATTTTTGAACTGCCGCCGCACCAAATCTCCGAGCCTGAGTGGTTGTGACCTCACAAGCCAACATCGCAGCAATTAGAGTAGTAACAACTTTTGTCTGGAGGATCTCTGTCTCAATAGCACTCGGATTAGCGAGCAGATGTTGCAGAGCTTCTTGGGAATGCGCCTAATCTCGGGAAGCTGAGTTTGAGCTAGATTCAAGGGGTTGAGAGCCTGGACCTCTCTTACCCTAACCTGAAGACCATTCTCATCGGCGGAAAATATGGCTCTGTTCTGCAACTCCAGCTTACTTCAGCTCCTCTGCTGCACACACTTCGCTTCCAAAGCACAAACAATTGCAAGCTGAACGTGACGTCCGACATTTTCGATTCCGAATCTCAAATTCCTCCACATTATAAATAGCTCCCAGATGGGATCGAATTGGCTAAACGATCTCGAGGACTTGATTTCCAAGTCCCCATCTCTGGAGTTTCTAGAATTTCACAATCTCATAAACACAGGCGAAAGGAAGCCGTTGTCTTGGCTGAGGATTAACATTCCGAGCTCGGCTTCCAAGCTCCGGACATTAAGACTGAGATTTTCGAAAACGGAGAGGCCATTGGAGATCGATGCTCCTAATCTGGTTAGTCTCTGCATCGCCACCGACTCTGCCATCAACGTTGAAGCTGTCGAAGTGGCTTCCGACTGCAAATGTGTAGTTGATTGGCATTTTTTTTTTGGTAATGGTGTAATTCGTTAATTATGAAATAAATAAATATGCGGAACAAGTACAGAGAAAGCCAAAAGCCAAAACAGTAGGCAAGAGGCTGCAAAAGCAAGAACTGCCACCATCAGAACAATGACAAATAAACAGCAGCTACAAAGGAGAGGTTGGAAAGCAAACTCAGCAACTACCAATCAGATTCGCTTGCGACCGAGGAAGGCCAAATGAAGTAAGAGCCACTCTAAGATTCTCTTGCCAAGTTTCACCAATCTGCCTATCGATCTTGCCAGCCGCCATGATCCACGCTGCAATAAGCCTTCCAATCGAAAGGGCAAAGACGTGTGGTGTAGTCCTCCTGTCCTCAAAAATCCTATAGTTTCTTTCTCGCCACACACACCACAACACAACATGAAGTAGAGATATAGTGCACCACTTTTTCGGCTCCTAAGGTTTTTGATACGACCAACTTCTGATAACTTGAGCAATGTCTCCCTGAAGGTGCTGACCACGAATCGGGACGAAACTCTTGATGACTCCCCACACTTGAGAAGTGAAGCTACAAAATAAGAACAGGTGGCTCACATCTTCTTCATTCGACGAGCAAAGAGGGCACATGTTTGGCAAGCTCCAACCTCTGTGCTTAAGTGCATCTTGAGTGAGAATTTTTCGTTGATATGCCAACCACACGAATAAGCGGATTTTGGACGGTATATGCGACTGCCAAATGACCTTGTGAGTATAGGTGTCAAAATAGAACCCGACCCGTTTAACCCGCCCGACCAACCCGACCTGTAACCCGCCCGCAACCCGAATTGACTAAAAGTCAATGACCCGCAACCCGCCCGACCCACAACCCGATTGACCCGCGACCCGATTTACCTGTAACCCAACTAACCCGCAACCCGTTTAACCCGAACCCGATTGACCCGTAACCCGATTGACCCGCAACCCAATTGACCCGCAACCCGATTGACCCGAACCCGACTAACCCGCAGCCCGCCCGATTAACCTAAAAAATTATTTTATTATATACTATATAATATAGCAAAGGGAAGTTCAAAAATAAAGAATTATTATTATCTTTCAAAATAAAGTTTTTTGCTCTATACCCATGTAAAGCCAAAATTTTCATTTCGTAAATGGAAGTTTAAAATATGAAATTCAATTGAAATTATGCATTAAAAAAATAATAATAATAAAACATGAAGAAAACTTAGCAACATACAGTGATATAAACGTAGGCCTATAGCAATAGCATATGATGGCACACGTTAGTAAGTAGTATGAATATCTGGGTGTGAGTGGTTGCGGCTTTAGCATTAGTTACAATTAACATGAGAAAAAACTTACGGGTATGGAGTCCCTCAAATAAAATTAAAACAATCAAATAAGTTGCAAATAATTGGAGCCAAAATTTAGGAGGGAAATTTGGAGCCAACTCTAGGAAGAATCAACATGGGGATGCAGAATTTCACTTTTCAGCCAAAAATAATATCCTTTTACCATTAGTTTAATTAACATGGGGAAATTTTGGCGGGTATAGAGAGTCCCTGAAAAGTCAAAACAATCAAGTAAATTGCGGGAGACCAAAAAATTGGAGCCAAAATTTAGGGGGAAATTTGGCGGCAAATATGGGGGATGCAGGACGTTGTTTTGTACATTGTTAGCCAAAGAAATTTTCTTATTATTTATCAAAACTAAATTTTCTCATTATTTACCAAAACTAAATTTTCTCATTATTTACGATATTAGGAGCATTAATCATTTATCATGAAAAATGAAGAAGAAATAACATATTAATTAATTCTTGTGACTATAATTACAATTACAATTAATCATATAGCAAGTAATACAATTGCAATAATTCGATCATCTAAAATATATAACAAATTGAATTATGACGATTAAGGAGTTCAACATTTAATGACTAAGACATTGTCTATAGTAAACCTTATTATAGTCTTTAAGGGCATAAGATTAATTGGATATAGTAGATTTGTGAACATATCATCAGTTAAGAGTTTAACATTTAGTAGCTAAGACATTGTCTATAGTAGAATCTATCATGAGTCATCTTATCATAATATACCAATCGCTATCGTTATAGTACACATAACCTAACACCCATTATATGAACTAGTTTAGGAACTCTAATAAGCAACATATATACTTATCTAACTATATGAACTAAATAGTTTGAATATATATATATATATATATATATATATATATATAAAAAATTGCTTATAATTTGATAACTAAATTAACCATTAGTTACAACAATCATTGTTTTGGAAAAAATCACTTAATTCTCTACTTGTTTTCTATGCTTCTACATTTATCGAAACTTCAACACACATTATCGTTATTTTATAAACTTGAGTAAAACTTTGGCACATTTAAGTTTGTGTTCGAGTTGAATTTTGATTTCAAAATGAGAGTTAAACCTGGTATAAGATATTGATGGTTTAGGGTATAAGGTACATATGGTTTAGGGTGTATATGGTTAGGGTATAAGATATTGATGGTTTTGACGGTTCTAAGTTTTTTATTAACATATGTTCACTTGAAGTCATTTGAAGTCTTTAACGGCAGCAGTTCTCTTTTTAATTTATGTTTATGGTACATGGTTAGGGTACAAGGTATGTGGTGTAAAGTATAGAATATATGGTTAGGGTATAACAATTAGCAAATATCACTTTTTATCTATGTTTTGAAAATCAAAGTATGAATTTCA